AAGAGGTTTGGCTGTTACTCAACCTCCGGCTTCAATAATGTATTGAGTTACTAACCCAGAAATCATGTACCCAGAAATAGTCAGAATTTCTTATTTACATACCTTTCCTGTGTATGTCCAGACAAAACTTTTTTCTTACTTTTGGATGAAGTGGGGAAGTGTTAGAACCCCTTTGGGATTTTACTGCTATCTGGGGCTTCATTAGAGATTTCCTCTCCCCTACTTTCTCAGTGACAACCTTTTAGCAGACAGGAAGTGCAGAAACACACCAAAAAGAACACAGGCTGAAATAGAAATGCTTTTTAATTAGAGTAGGGGAAGGCTAAAACCTGGTCAGATTCTTATTTCTATCTGTGTTCCTGTTACACATTTTCCCTCAATAATTCCTGTCTGGTAAAACCATTGTCACCATGACAGAAAGTGAGGAAATACAGTAAAATCACTCTACTGGAGTCCCAGATAGTAGTAAAAAACAGACCTGGGTTTTAATCCCTCCCCACTCTATCCAAAAGGAGAACAAATTCATAGTTGCCAACATTTGCAAATCTTTACAAGGACATCTTAAAGGGATTGAGAAGAAACATGCAGATTGCTAAGTGCAATGTTTGCCAGGACCATGGCGGTGTGACCAAAAATGGGTGCGGCTTCAGGGTATGACTTTTAGTGTTGCGCCTTCCCAACTTTATGCTTTAGACATTATAGGGCCTGTGGTACACTATAAGAAAAGTGATCATAAAACAGGTTCCCATGATTGTCAGTGGAATAATCCATGTTAGTGGTGCCAGCCCTCTTGTTTTGCCAGTGGCGGCAGAAGAGCCGTGCAGCAATTTTAAAGCCCAGTGTCCTATATCTTGAGATTAGTAGTGCAGGGTGTCTCTAAAATCCCAGGACTGTCCCACAGGATCTGGGGCACTTGGCAACTATGCAAACCTTTTTATCTTGACATACACTTTAATGACTGAAAGTATTGAAGCCAGAGATGTCAGCATGATAGCTAGGCAACTGGCACTTGTAGAATGAGAGGTCAATAATGTGTTTTGCTCAAGAAAGGTTTTCTTTAAAGGCTAAGCGGTTCCACAAATAATGCTATGTTCTAAGAAAAGATCCTATGCTTAAAAGTTGATTTTTGCAAAACCTGTGCAGTTTCTCATCAGTGACTAGCTTTTTTGCCTGCATCATAATTCAAACAAGCCTCTGCAGATGCTCAGTGGATAGTCAGGTACACACACCGGAGACGAGCAGATTTGAAAGTAAGAATGTTATCTGCACCAAAATAAAGATCCACATCTAAAAATCTTAAACATAGTGCTAAATTTGTTATGTATTCTCCAATATTTTTGCTCGATAATCCTGTGATGTATAGCAGAGCTTGCACTAAAAACTGTTGTATATGAAGTTGTAATAAATAACTGAACTGTAAATGGAACATACCCACTACATATATTTTAATAAAATATTTGAGCTCCTTGTATTTCATGCATGAACACTTGTTAATTTAATTTGAGCTCTGCCTAGATCTCAGTAAATTTAAGCAGTAACAGACCAGACTGCACACGATCCTGGTCTGCTGGTCATGTGTTAAAAACATAATTTCTGCCATCTGTACACAGGGAGGGATGGCGGTGCAGACCTATCACCAGTAATCATGAGTCCTCCTCCTTTGCACTTCCTCACTTAGTCCTCTTGTTCCCAGTACACGCTCTTTTACTCTATTTTACAATACTTGTGCATGCTTTCTTAGATTCCTTTGCTTCTTGTATCCCGGCATGTGAAAAACTATACCAGCATCCACTTTCCTAGATCCCCTTTTTCCAGGTGTCCCTGTACATGCCCTCCCATGTCTCCTGCTCCTTGTGATTTACTGTGCAGTCCCTAAGACCCCCCTGCTCAGTGTGTAATACTAAGGCTGGGTTCACACCTAGGCGTATGGAATATGCGCGTTTGTCACGCGTTTCGTGACGCACATTTTTACCGCGATTCACGGTAAAAAACCGCGCGACAAACGCGCGTTTCCAAGGGCTACTTGGCTGTATCACAATGGAAACGCGCGACAAAAACGCCCCAAAGAAGCTCCTGTACTTCTTTGGGCGTAGGACGTTTTGTAGCGCGTGAACCATGCCCATAGGAAATAATGGGATTTCGGTGTTTGAGCGTTTTGCAGAGCGTTCGAACGCGCTGCAAAACGCCCAGGTGTGAACCGGGCCTTATACTCTGATACTCCCAGATCTCCCCTGTTACCTGTGTTACATTGCACAGTCTCCCAGGTCTTCCCTATTCACTGTGTTACACTCTACAGTCTGTATGCTATACAATCTCCCAGATCTCACCTTTTCACTGTTACACTGTACTGTTCAGTCCCCCAGGTTTTCCTGCTAACTATGTTGCACTGTACAGTCTCCCAGATCTTCTTGTTTACCATTATAACGTCAAGTCTTCTAGATCTCCCCTGTTCAGTGTTTTACAATACACAGTCTCCCAGATCTTCCTGCTCACTATGTTACACTATACCAGTGGCGGACCTAAGGAACAAAGGGCCCTCGTGCAAGATTTTTTTTTGCCCCCCCCCCCAAAAAAAATCCCACAAACACAGTGCTCTCCTCCCGCAGCGCTCGGCTGGCTGTCACTTTCTCTCCTCCCCACTGGGACACAGAACAGCGCCCAGCGGGGAGGAAAGATGCTGGGACTGTGCTGGGCTCCCCCAGGCCGAGGCCCTGGTGCGCCCGCAATGGCGGTAGCTCCGTCACTGCACTATACAGTCTCCCAGATCTTCCTGCTTCTTGTGTTACACTGCACAATCTCTCAGATCCCCCTGCTTATTGTGTTACACTCATAGGCATGTGCAGCCTATTGCATTAGGTTGTGCACACAAAAGTACAAACACACACGTGCATGTCTATCTATCTATCTATCTATCTATCTATCTATCTATCTATCTATCTATCTATCTATCTATTTATCTTATGTATCGACCACCGCGGGACGGAGCTGGGGAGCTTTGGCCTGCTGCATGCTGTCAGCTGTAGTCACAGCATGCAGCAGGCCAACGCTCTGCAACTCCGTCCAGCGGTGGTTGCCACCCGTCCGGTTTTCACCCGGACAGCCCGGTTTTGGAGTCTTGTCTTGTCAGCGGGCACCCAGACCTCATCCTCTTCTGTCCCTGTGGCTTGCTTCTCCTTTTCCTGCAGTTCATCCTTCTCCAGGTAAACCTGTGCACAGCTGAAATCCTGGTCCTACTGTTTTCCGAAACCATACGCACTCCATCACTGTGCTCTCAACCAATAAAGGAGTGTTGAGAGTGAACCGTTCCGCATGCTGACTTGCACATCATTACCATCGTCTGGTAGTGCTTGAAAAGAGAAACCAAAGACCCTCCCTGCTGCAATGTTTGGAAGATATTGCTCCTCTGTAGAAGTGATGAAAAAAGGCACATACTCGCAGTGTAAAAAACTGGTGACACTCTATATCAAACTGTGTTTATGTTCTCTGTAGTTCGTAAAATGTGGGGATTCAATCCATGTACAGCCTCTCTTAACTCTAATGCAGTATATTAAGCGCTACTTTAATAAAGGAAACTTAAATGTGTAAGTTTAGGGAGAAATGCAGAACTCCGTTGTAGTCAAATAAAAACAGCTTGTCCACCTCTCCTTGAGTTCCCCTTCTGTGCCCCGTAATTACCTGAAAGAACATTCTATTAACGTTTCAGCCTTTCCATAACAACTAAATTATTTTCAACCTAAAAAAAATCAATGGAAGCTGAAGCTGCCTCCTGCAGGGTAACCCAATTGCCTGCTCAGGGTTTTTCTATTGTTGGCTAAAGTGAGTGACAAATTGGGAGAGCACATTATGAGATTTGCAGCACGGAATAACGGCAATGTTTTTAAAATACTCACAAAGAAAGAAACTCACGATCTGCTAAGTCATCTCCGACCTACCACCGCCACACATCATCCTGCTAATTTTTGTGTCTTGCCAAACCTTCCCTCTTCCACTTTCAAGACTTCCCCTGTGCTTCTCTCCCTCTCTGAAACTTATTTCACATGATATTCTACGCTCCCTGACTCAAAAGCACCCGTATACGGTAACAAACCACAAAAAAAACATGGAATATATTGCAGTTTACCAGTCCATAAATGTGATAGAGGAGAACATTTTCAGCAAGTACAGAAAATACCTGTTGATTTTGCCAGAAATGCGGTGTTCTTGTCACTTCCTGTGAGCTGAATAGAAAGCAAAATAACCCCATCACCCCCCATGTAATGAGGAGGTACAAAGGCAGACATGTTTCAAGTCCAGCCTCGGCGGCAACCATGGCTCCTTTCATAGATACAGTGGAGGAGTGCGCATAGCCAACAAGGGACAGGAAGCAGTGGCGTAACAATCACCATAGCGACCCAGGTGGCCGCTATGGGGCCCGAGGCACGGCGGGGGCCCGGCCAGGACATCTCCCTGATGC